CCCCCCTTCCCCCCAGCAGATATTACCTCTCATGGATAGAGAGCCAAAAAAGATTTCTTACACAAGTCTGACCTGGCCAAAATATCACAAAGTTCCCATAAGGTCACAGAAGGCTCTCTTAGGTCTCAGTGGGCATGTCTATACAAGACACTTAACTAAGCAGTAGCATAGTTTACTGAGCAGTAAGCACGTGTGTCTACATTTGCATATACTTACTGCACTGTAAGTTACACTACTTGGAAGTAAATTTGCTACCTGCAAATGTAAGTAGCACATTTATGCATGAGTAGTTACTGTGCAGTAATGCACATGTAGACACCAACCAGGAGCAAGTTTGCTCCCGGTCAGCCCTGGCACTAGGAGGCCAACCCAGGGCTCTGAGGATGGGAGCGTCTTCTCCCCTGGTCTGGGCCTGCTCTATGGCAGCCCCTACCTCAGCGCCTTAAAAGCCGACAAGCATTTTGAGCCCTGGGACAGCAACCTGAGGCTAGTCCAGGCCCCTGTGTCCCCCCGAGCAGGCTAAATACTAGCTGAACTAGCCTGCCTGCACACCGGTGCCACTGCCTGTCACTGCAGTGCTATGTGGCTGCCAGGCCTGTGCTGTCCAGGCCTGCAGGCTGCTTCAGGCTGCTTCAGGTTCCTGCCAGGCCTGTCAGCACCCAGGCCCAGCTGCAGGCAGCTCCTAGTCACCGGGGCCAGCTCCAGCTACCAGCAGCCCACCCCCAGTACTCTGCCTAGAGCCTGCAGGTGCTGTGGGGCATTGCCTTGCTGCACAGCTACCAGTCCCACACTGTGCCCTTGAGCCGGGCACTGCAGGCAGCTGCCCAGGCCCAGCAGTTCAGGGACAGCTATGCAGAGGCCTGGAGAGCCAGCACAGGAGCCCTGATGGCCTCATCATCGCCCATGCCAGTCCCCCCCCCGCCCCAACCTGGGGCACCAACTGGTCCATGGAGAAGACTGGCAACCTCATGGCACTGTGGGGCGAGGAGGAGGTACAGTGGCAGTTTGCGCATGATCGATGCTCCAATATCCATGTGTATGAGGGGCTGTCGGGTTAGATGTGGGAGCAAGGGCATGACCAGTCAGTGTGGCAGTGCCATATAAAGGTCAAGGCCTTGCAGGCACAGTGGGTATCCATTGGCACCACAATTGTCAGTTAGGAGACTGCCCACAATACCATGCCCTTTATGTGGCTGCTGACAGAGATCCTAATGCCCTGGGACCCAGGCCACAGCTGTACTGTGTACAGCAGCATGGGCAGCCTGGCTGGGTTCCCACCCATGCCCAAGCCTGGCACCCATGGTGAAGTGTTGCCAGGGGAGGGACTCTTGGGGCATCAGCACCCTGTCCTGACAAGCTCTCTGCATGCAGCCTCCACCAGCAGCTTAGGGAGCCTGGGTGAGTGCTTGCTATGACATCTCCACAGCCTTCGCCCCAGCCATGAGATGCAGCCAGCCATGTCAGTGCCGGCCACCACCAGCACCAGATCCTCCCCCAGGTAGGGGAGGCTGCCTACACTGTGCCTTGCCATCTGATGAATCTGCCAGGAGCCACAAGCTGTCACCACCAGCTGGGACTGACCAGAGCCCCCAGCCACACCAGCCCTGACCACATGGTAAACCCTGTACTGGGAGAGAGGGCCCTCCACCCAAACCCCTGCCCCTGCTCCCCAGCTGTCCCGGCCACACTCCCCTAGCTGGGTTCCCCCTCACAGCATTCAGGGAGGTGGGAGACAGTGCAAAACATTATTAAGCAGCTCAAACTGCCGCAGCTAGGAGAACATGGGCCTCTCACACACTGAGGAACATGTAAATGCCGGCAATGATGTCCTCCTCAGTAGCAGGGGCCAGGGACATTTAGCACAGTGACAGATAGGCCTCTAGGTGGTGGTGGAGGTTGCAGAGCAGCCTGGGCTTGCCCCCCACACTGTTGAAGCTCAGGGTCCTGTGCCAGGTGCGCAAGTAAGCCTGGGGCACCATGGCGATAAGCAGCAGCAGGGCATAGTGGGTCAGACACCTGTTGGTCAGCACAAACAGCTCCTCACACAATGCCCAGGAGATGCACAGTAGGGGCACACTCACCCACCCAACTTACCATGGTCCATGGCCACCTGTGAACACCCACTCCCTGATCTACGGCCGGGCCCCGCACAGCTCCTGGAACAGAGCATCTTTTCTCAGAAATGTTGCAAACTCTCACAGACAGCTTCTTTCTCATGGCTCTGCAGGCCCTGCAGCTACACGTGGGGACGAGGCTGCAGGTGGCAGCCAGGATATGGGCTCAGGGTCACTGCCACCCACAGCCGGGACCCTGTGGATGCTCCGGTTCTACCAGAGAAAGATGCAGGACAGGACCCTCCTCCTGGACGACCTGGTTATGGCATCAGAGGACCATCTCAAGGCTGTTTGGGCCTGGTGGGTGGAGGACATGGCCTGCCAGGATGCTCAGGACTGGTGCAAGGAAGCATGGGACTGGCATGAGAAGGCATGGGACCAGGCAGACCAGGAGTTCTGGACGCAGGCCCTGGCCCTGGAGCATGAACAGCTGGAAGCTCTGTGGGAGCAGAGTGCAGTCCTGGGCAGGGAACTGCAGGTCACAAAGGATGACAGCTGGGTCCTGGACAGCATCCTAGCCCTGGTGGTCACCTTTGTGCTGCCCACTGCCTGGCCCCTGACCCTAGCCTGGCCTGCCCCACCCACCACCCAGCTGGGCCTGGGCAGAGGTTCAGTGCTGCCTCCACCAGCCAGGAACCCCTGTCTTGGCTCTGCCTCAGGTCTCCTGCCACTCAGCCCCCACAGCTGAGCTGCGGCCTGCCACTCACCCTGTCCCCAAGTGGGTGCTGAGCTGGAGCTGCCTGCAGCAAGGCAAGAATGGCATGCCAGACCTGCTGGCCCTGGGCACCAGCTGCCGGAGGGGAGACTGCCAGAACCAGGACAATACCACCTGCCATTGCCCTGGATGAGCCCCACACCTGCTGGACTCACCACAGCATGCGCATCCATGGGGGAATGGCCAGAGGCCAGAGTGCTTGCTGCCTGTCTCAAGGCTCTGCCCCCTCCGTGCCCCCACTCCACAGCTGCCCATGCCAGGAGGGCACACAGACACACCACAGCACTCCACTTGTAAATAGTCTGCACAGGAAAGAGCGTGTTTTATTGTCAGTGTGTGGTGGAGCGCCTCTGTTTGGTGGCAGGGAAGGAGGAGAAAGATCTGTTTTTTGGGGAGGTAGGGAGGCATAGGGCTCTTTTGTTGGGGAGGGAGGGGAGGTCTGTTTGATGTGAGGGGAATAAAAACTGTTGTTCTGAGATATGGCTGTAGTGAACGTGTTGCTGGGGGTGGCTGGGAGGGGTGGGGGTGTCTCTGGGTGGTGGTCCAGGCAGGCTATAGTGGGGAGTGCAGGAGGAGGCAGTCGGCCAGCACCTCTCACATGTGGTGCCCTGGTCCCCACTGGCAGGGGGGGACCACTGCTGTTGCTGCCACCACAGCTGGTGCTCCTGCTGTCAGGTTGTCAGACCTCCTCCACACAGGCCTCATGAAACAGCTCCCCCTGGGCCTGACAGATGTTAGGCAGCAGGCAGGCTGTGACGATGGCCCAGGGGATGTTGTCCTTAGCAACCTCAAAGTAGGCAGTGAGGGTGCACCAGTGTCCCTTGGGGTGGATGAAGGCACATTCCACCAGGGCATAGATCCAGTTCAGGTAGCAGTTAAAGTGGCCCTGGCAGGGGTCCAGCTGGCCAGTGTAGGGCTGCAGTAGCCAGGGCAGAAGTGAGTAGGTGGGGTCCCTGATGAGGAGGGGCAGGACCATCATGGTACCCAGCTGGAGGTCTAGCACCCCCAGCATGAAACACCCGCTCTGCACCAGGGCAGGCAGGGTGGAGTTGCAAAACATGCAGGTATCTTGGGCACTGCCCACGCAGCCAGCACTCACATTGTTGAAGGTGCTGCGGTGGGTCCACGAAGGCCTGGAGCACCACAAAGTGAAAGCCCCTCCAACTGTAATAGGGCCAGTCACCCTGCAGCAGGCAGGTGACAGGAATGTGGGTCCTGTCCAGGGCCATGATGCACTGGGGGAATCCCAGGACACAGAACCCTGCCACCACCTCCAGGGTGTCATGCACCCAGAGCACTGTATGCCCCAGCACATCCTGGAGGGTGCTGCATATGCTGGAGGGAGCCTTCATGGCAGTGGCCTTCCCATGCCAAAGAGATGGCTCTTCCATAGGGGAGGCTGGTGGGTGTGGTCAGCTTCAGCAGGGCAAGGACCAGCCAGGTGTCCATGGAGAGAGGTGGCCACATGTCAGTGTCCTGCTGCTGCAGGTGGAGCTGCCCCAGGAGATCCAGAAAGATGGCCTGGATCATCCTGAATACCTCAGCTACCATTCCTGGCTGGGCTCAGAGGCAGCAGGGTTAGAGGCACAGGATTGTGAGGGTGGCCCTGGCAGTAGCATCCTGGAGCCCATCATCAGTGTCCCTGCTGGGGTCCAGCCAGCTGGACGGGGTCCAAGCGGCAGTTGTGTGGTGGTGGCAGTGGCCACCCTGGGATGGTGCATTGCAGCTGGGCAGGTGGTCCCTGCATGTTGGGGAGCCAGTAGGGCCTAGACAGCTATGTGCCAGCCAGCGGTTGGCATGGGAGACCAGCAGGGCCAGTGCGGTGGCCTAGAGGCTTCAGTGGCAGAAGCCTGGGAAGGGGCTGGCCAGGAAGCAGGAAGGGAGGTTGGCTTTTCAATATGGCTGCCAGCTGCTGGCAGCTGCAGCCGGTGCCTCGAGTTCCCCCTGGTGGCAGGGCCCATTGCAGGGCCACAGAAAGTGGCAGCAGTTTGCTGCCTGGAGCAGCTAATCTGCTCTTAAGTCCCTGCATGTGTAAACAACTGCCTGGGAGCGCTTACTCACGAGTAGTTTACTTGCAAGTAAACTGATCTTGGATCAAATGCTTGTGTAGATGTGACCAGTATGCCTGCTTTCTCAACACTGCTAACTAATGGCTTTTTCCTCTCTTGCAGCTGACATACTTGCCCCCTCCGTGGGGTGAATGTCGCTCCTCAGATATGGGCTTAGCCTTCTTTCCTGTTTACAGTATCACAGCTTGCAGGATTGACTGTGAAACTCGATACATCGTGGAGAACTGCAACTGCAAAATGGTTCATATGCCAGGTCAGTCTGCACAAGGTGTCTTGGAATATGCCCAGCAATGTAGCTCATTTTCTTATTTGTAAATTAAATTGGATTAAGCCCAGATGTTAATTTAAAGCAGTAGAGCTGTTCCTGATTAACTACTTGTATGAATGCTTTCCTTTCAGGATTTGGGTGCCTTATTGTAGATTCGTTTAACCCCCTTCCAAGTGAACTAAACTCATTTGCGGTATTATTGTTGTTGTTGTTGTTATGGAATAAGAATGTGCACATGGGGAGTTAATCAGGCACTAGCCCTATTAAGCACATGATTTTGCAGAAGGACATTACATTTCTGATGTGTCCCAATCCCCCTGGATGCTGTGAGCAGGCTTTAGAGACTGTGCTGAACTTTACTGGAGTTTAAGGATTTCCTCTGGCACCTTCTGCCCTGCACTAGTTAGAGATCATTTCACCTACCAACTCTTGGTGGCCAGTTCAGTAGCAATGTTTACTCTTGAACTTGCAGCCCTTTAAGGGTATGGACACACATAACACTTAGACTGATTTAAATTGAAACCTGAAGTGGACAGACATACAAGCTTGTTAGACTGGCTTAAAGCTTGTGAGAATGGTACCAAAGGCTAGAAATAGATGTTGCTGAATGAAGTGGATCAGCTGTGCCGAGCAGTATTGTGACATAGCTGATCTGCTTCCTTTAGCAAAGCACACATCACCCTTTATTTAACCTTTGATGGTGTAGGACAAGGGGTACTATGATCTCCCTGCTTTGCCTGCTCATCCAGACCTGTTCCTAGCAATCACTGGAGATGAGTCTGACTGAGCAGAGAAAGTTGGGCTGTTCCTTGCACAGCCAGACCTGCTCTTTTGCAATCAGAGGGACAGGTTGGGCTGAGTGGGGAACCCTGACTTCCCTACTTATGGAGCAGCAATCTGAAATTTAAGTGCTGTTTTGAACTAGTTCACTGTGAGCTGGGTCAATGTTACATAGAGACAAGCAGTGTTCTTTGCCACAGGTCTGATCAGTTTTCCAGGCATCCCATACTATATGACTCCTCCCCCTGACCCACACCCTCCCCATTGCTACAACTGGTGTGTTCTGGTGCATGGCCAAAACTCTACTGCCCTATTTTTCCCTTTTATTGGCACTTTTTTTATCAATGAGTTCCCTTGCAGGATTTGGTCAATAAATGCTATCTTTCTAGCAAGCATTCATTTCCCCACTTCTTACACAAGCAAGTGGGGTTCTCATTATGCCTTCTGCCAGTCCCAACATGAGTACAAACATTACCCCTTCCTGGGTGTGCAAGTCAGGCAAGCACACTGCAGACTTTAGCAAAATGCAGGATACTTAACTTTATTAATCTGATATTTAGGAGAGAAGGGAAAATGAAAATGCCACCAACCACTCTATGGAACCCACAAAGCATGGGTGCAAGTACTTCCTCCCCACTTGCCCATTGCGATGCATGCTGGGCTGGGTGATGATCACTCCCACCCCAGGTGCCAGGGACACAGCACTTCAGCACCTAAAAAGTTATTGTTCTACCTGGCATCTTAGGACACTATTCACGTGGACATTTCTGATCTACAGCAATTTTGAACCAATTCCAAATTGGTGACATTTGGAAATGATTCAGTTGTTATGTGTGTCCCCCCCTTAGGTTCCATTGGCCTTGCTATGTGGGGACTGTGAGATCAAATTCATGGTTTGCAAAATGCACTGGTTTAGTGATGAAAGTCAGGGGGTTTTGTGATATCTTTTATTGGAACAGTTCTGTAGTTGAAAGAACTGTTGGAAGACCTTGACCTTTATAAACTGCTTTGAAAACTGCTTACCAAAGCACTGCATCTGATTGAGGTGGTAGTATGACTTTTTTCACTTCCCTGCATTGTTGCAATATTTATAGAGATGAATTATTGATTTTGATAGTGTCCAAATAGATCAGTTCTGCTTGGTTCCTTTGCACTACAGCTGCACAAAGCAGCCTGAAGTACTGTGGCTTAACTTGGAACAGGAGTTAAGTGGCTTAACTTGGAACAGGAGAGCACCCTGGGAAGCCACTGGGGAAAGAGGCCTTTGCCATGGGGCACCTGCCACCCCTAGATTGCAGAGCATCCCTATCTAACCCTTCTAAGCATCCAACATAAATTGACTGGGGTGTGCCAACGCTCCTGCTGGTACCAAACCCAGACTTTCCTGGCTGGAGAGTCTTGCCCCTCTGCTCAGGGTTAGGCTGATTGCCATACTTGGGGTCAGGAAGACATTTTACCCCATAGTCAGATTGGAACAGACTGTGGGTGTTTTTGCCTTTGTCTGTAGCAGGCAGCATGGCCCTTCATCCTAGATCTCTTGAGCATATATTGACATTTCATAGAAGCAAGGCATTTGCTGCCATGGGTCCCCTGCTTTATCAGTGGCAGGTTAGGGTATTAGGTCTGTGTTGTGTCAGGGTTGATGATAGTTTTATGTAGTTTATATTATGGATTGTATAGAGTGGTTAGATAGAGATGGTCCTGCCTCAGATGGGGCTGGACTAGATGATCTATGGAGATCCCTTCCAGCCCTACTTCTCTATGATTCTATGACAGTAGCCATCAAGATCCTAAATTACCCCCTGGCCAGTCTCAGTGTGGGTGAAATACAAAAGCTTCCTTCCTTCCATGCTCCACAGTCCTACCCTGACCACAGCATCTGGACATCAATATTTCCTTCATTCCAGCTTCACTGTCCAACCTGGAAGGAGTTGGTCTCCTGCCATACAAAACCCAGCACCTAGAACATCCCACCAAATTGTGGATGGGTTCTGATTGACAGGATAAAATTACACCCAGGCCATGTCTACATGACCGGCTGACTGCACAGTTGTTACTGCACAGTCATTTAGTTACTGCACAGTCCCGATCCCACACAGTTATTTTTAGCTGCTACTGCACAATAGCAATGAGCCACTGTGCAGTAGATTATTGCTACTGCGCAATAGCGTTGGCACCCCAGTTCGTGCCCAGCGATGCTACATTGTTGTAGCAATGATTTACAGCATAGTAGCTCATTGCTACGATGATGTAGCATCTCATGTAGCTGCACCCCCAGAGCCCAAGAACCCACTAAATATGACAATGCAGAAGGAAACCGTGGCAGGAATCCCACTGAGACCAGTGGAATCCTCCTTTCACCCCACCTGCCTGAGTAGGTAGACTGACTTCATGGACTTGAAGCAGGCTATAAGACTATCACCACCCCTCTGAATCCAGGGGGGTCACCAGGTTGTAGTTAATATGCAGAAGTGCATATAGAGGAACATAATTATTCACATATATTCTAAGGCACAAACTGCATTCTTGGGTTGATTTACTGACTACCGAAGACCAGACACCTCTGAGGCAGAATGCAAATGCTGTTTAGCAGGGTTAGCATCTTTTCACTGGAGATGATGAAGGAAACCATGCTCCACTGAACCTATAAAAGGGGTCTAATTAGGAATTTAATTACCTGCACCTTGTGCTCATGGATGGCCTCAAATGGTCAGAGACTATATTTCATGCCCCATCTTTAGCACAGTATGTTTTCAATAAGATGCGAAGTGCTAAGATCCCTCCATACAGATGCAGGGCTGTTTATGCTGATTCAGCCAGCAGTAAGACCATGTGGGTTCACTTCAGGAGCACAGATACAGAAGCATAAATTCAATCCTGAAGAATAAGGAGTTTAAGAATCTTGGAAGAAAAGTAATTAGGAGCATCAAAAGAGATGTCCATTGAGGGGAAACTCAGGAAATACAAACTTCTGGGAGAAGCTGGAAATGAGATTTTAGGGTTTGTTTTGATGATTTTAGGGTAAGACTAAGACTTCCATGCAGACATACTTGGTTACAGGCAGGTGTGAGAAATTCATTTGCTTATTGCGCTCTTGCACCATGCCAAGTCTTTTGTTTAGTTTGGAAAAGGAGGAAGAGGCAACCTATTTGATCAATGACTGCTTTATGTAGAACCTGGATGATACTTTCAGGCCTCCAATCCAAATGCTGATTTAGGCCAAACAGACCTTGCCCAGAAATCTGACAAAGTGGCCTAGCTCTGTGCCATCCTGCCTATTTTACTTACAGAGTACCTAACTCCAGTGGGGAAGCTACAGTGAGATGCTGACTCTAACCTGCTTCACATCTTACCCTGCATCCTGCCTTCCAGCCTCATCATCCCCAAATGCACCTCTTCCTAGGCTGTTTGTACTGGATACACTAACAAGAGGTTGTCTAATACATAAGTATGGCTGCTTTCATGCTGTTGATGCCAAACGTGCTAGTTGCTGCTCTGACACCAGCATCTGTTTTCTGACTCTGTGTATTTCCCTCTTGTCTTCTATTTCTTTTCTATGCAGGGGATGCACCTTTCTGTACTCCTGAGCAGTATAAGGAATGTGCAGAACCTGCTTTAGGTTAGTACAGCCACGAATTCTCAGGCTCACTCGGACCCTTTACAATGGTGATGGATGATGTGGGTATCAAATGGGGGGAGGGGACGTACCTCCCAAGCTGCCTGTAGTCTCTTTGTCAGTACAGTCAGGCCTCGATTTATACAGTATTTTTGCAGCGCGGTTTCAGTTATGCACGGTCAATTAATTGTGACCCTTTATTTTTGTACATGGTATGGATTCACTTTTACACAGTGCAATAAAGAAAATTGGCTGTATCAGAAATCGGTGCAATGCAGCCGATAATTTGGCCAATAAATGCCCATGCATGCATGCAGCCACAGTGCAGTATGTAGGCAGTGAGGAGCACAGCCAGGTAGCCTGGAGAGCTGCGTGCAGCTGGTAAGTCTGGTGTGGTGGAAGGGGAGGGGGGGAGGGAAAGGAGGTGCAGATCATGGCCCCCCGTGGTGAAGGAGGGAGTGGGGCAGGGGGGCAGGGGCAGATGCTGCCCAGCCAGGGTGGGGCGGGTGCAAGATGGAGCTGTGGCTCATTTGGGGGGCACGGAGGGGGGGCAGCTACTGCCACTGCATGCACCCTAGAAGGGCACGGGGGGAGTATGTGCCCCCTAGATCTTCATGGGGCAGGGCAGGCTGCAGCTGTGGGCCACACTGGGCTCTTCTCAGTGGGGGCTGACCAGGCTGAGCTCAGGGCAGGCAGCAGCAACACTGGGAGCAGACTATGGGGGAGGGCTGCAACCACTCCAAATTTCACCATAGCCTTCTCCCAGCACTGCTGCTGCCCACCCAGTGCAGCCCCAGCTCTTTCCGGTGCATGAGTGGAGGCGGGGATTGGATAAATGAGAAGTCATCTTGTGAGCCTGGAACCTAAACCCTTATTTCCGATAGACCCTTGGTATCTTTTTACATGATTTCTATTTGCACGGTGTTGTTTCAAGAACGTAACCACCGTGTAAATTGAGGCCTGACTATATTCTTCGATTAACATACAGCAGACAGCAAACAAATGGTTTGTGATGGGACTGGAGACAACAGCATTTGCTGGTTACTCCGGGACTATGGGACCAAGCCTTAGCTTCATTCAGAATACTTCTCAGCAACATTTCCTCAGTTGCATGCTTTAGAGAAGAGAAATTTGGATAAATAGTGCACACAATATTCCTAAGAGCCCAGCATGTTCTGGGCATGTATCAGCCCCAATTTGGAGGAAGCAGGGTTGGGGCAGGAAAGTGGCCCAAGTCAGAAAAAGCAGCCAACAGGAAGGTTTAAGAAGATCCATAATAGACTAAGTCCCATCCCTGCTGTTCAACATCATCACACCCCAACCATCATGAAACTTGAACCCCCCCAGCACTGAGATTCACTGTTGTTCTTGAATGTCTTCCGCACCCACGGGTCACCCCAAAGCTAAGTGCTGTCCATTCACTTTGGGGCTCTTAAAAGATGTTACAGTAATATCATTGACACATGGCAAGGGCACACATTTTTGCTATGGTTCCCCTGAGCTTGCAGGAGCTCTCAGAAATGTCTGCGTTATTCACCTGTGTGGTCTGCGTCCAACCCAACCCTGCAGTTCTAGGTCTTTAGAAGTTACAGCAGGTGTGTGAGTGGCTCGCTCCTGGTAGGAAAAAGACAACTATCTTGGTCACAGGTCATCTTTTTTTCTCTGTGTTTATACAGCGCCTAGCACAATAAGGGCCTGGTTTATGACTGCTGTGACAGTGACAAAAAATAATATTATTAATCTGTTGTGGTTAGTTCATGAGGAGAAGTAATTTTTCTTGCAGAGTTTCAAAAGGTCAAGATGAATCATTTTGAAACAAGCCCTCAGGTACAACAGGGAAGACTCTACACTGATGGGTACACAAACAACCTTAACTCTGACCATGCCTACCAATACTTTCTGCATTAGACCACTCATTGTGGACTCTGATGAATGTATTCATCTCTTGTATTAATGTGTCAGTGAAGTCCCTATGGATGTGCAGTGGGTCCCAGTGAAGGTTGTTTACAAAAGACTGAGACTTTACACGTCAGTACTGTTGTTAGCTAAGTATCCAAACTGCAAGGCTAATGGGAGGAATATTGGTAGAAGGTCCTGTAACTGGTCATTTTCATAGTCTTTCATCTCTTTTAATCTTCATGTAATTCACCTCCAGAGCAATCTCAGCTAATCATGTTTTGAGAAGGATAAAAATAAAGGATAACAGTTTCAAAAGCACAAAATTACTTGGGAGACCAAGTCCCATTTTCAGAGGTGTCTTAAGATATTTTAGGACATTTTCAAAACTGCCTGAGGCCCAGATCTGGTATTTGGCACCTAACTCCTATTAAAAATCATGGGCATCAGATATCAAAATAACCTTGAGGGTCTGGGCCTAGGAAACTTAGAAGACTAAGTCCTATTTTTAAAGTGACTTGGGCACTTAGGGACATTTTTTTAAAGATCTTAGGTGCCTAATCCCTAAGGTCCTAATCGTAGGTGCCTAATTAGGACCAATTAGGACCTACAGGAATTTTCAAAGCACCCAAGGCACATAATTGCCATTGAAATCACTTGAAATTAGATGCTGGGGGGTGGGGGTGGGGGGTCAAAAGTACCTGGATCCTAAGCATTCTAAGTACCTGAATCTAAGCCTTTTTTGAAAATGAGCTGTAGGCTCCTAAGTCACTTAGATACTTTTAACAATGTCATTGTCTTGCACCTCCACCCCATCACATCACCTCCATTATAGTTTATCCAAATGCAACCTCTTGAAGTACAAGAACTATACTAGTGGGCAGTTATGCTGAATAGGCAGCCATAACATTGGGTCTCTTCCCTTTCTTTATACATCCCCAGCCAAAACCCAGAATCTGAATGAGTCCATGGGACAGGCTTCTCCCATGTTACAGGTGGGTAGGAATGGCCACAGTAGTGAAGCAGTGGATTGAATGATAGGGAATTTGACAGAAATGACCTTTACATATTGCTGATTGTTTGACCCGTCCCTGGGTAGAACTGCCTGCCCCTTCCACTCCCAATCTGCTTTGAATCAAAGAAAGGGTATATTTGTAGGCTATGCCCAGTAACTCTTGAAAGTGGATGTTGATGTAATCCCATGTGACTTAGTTCCCTCGTCTTTTTCTAGGTATGCTTGTTGAAAAGGACAGCAATTACTGTATCTGCAGCACACCATGCAACCTAACAAGGTACAACAAAGAGCTATCCATGGTGAAAATCCCCAGCAAGACTTCAGCCAAGTATCTGGAGAAAAAATTCAACAAGTCGGAAAAATACATCTCGTAAGTGCAGGCACCAGTGCTAGAATAGTTTATCTAATTTAATTTATAATGTAAAAAGCTTCTTCTGAGCAGGCATCCAAGGGCCAGATCGATTCAGTGCTTAACTCAGCTGGTACTGGTGCCAAATGCTGGTGATGCATTCACTGCAAAGATAAAGTGCCATGTAAAACCTTTCCTCAGATAAGACACAGGTAGGTTTTTCCTCAGTGTAGTTGCTTGAGGTCAACTCTCTGCTCCCACTTGAGATTCACCCCCTTGGTTTGAGAGCCTTGTCTCCATTAGAATTCTACAATTAGGAGTGTTAAACATAGAGGCCAGAGGCTGGATACCTGTGGACCAATTCAAATCTTTGGGCACCTATACAGGTGCAGTGAGGCTGCTTTGATGTGCTGTAGTTACGTGACAATTATTGCAGCCCAGCAAACTCCAGCGTCACATGTATCAGCGTCCCTGTGCTGAAAAATAGCAATGGGGGTGCTTTAACTAAAACTTGTTTGATGAGCTTTAGTTAAAGCACCTTGCCGCCATTTATCAGTGGGGACGCTGATACACATGAAGCTCCGGGCACTTTAGTTAGAGCGGCTCTCGGAGCTGCTCTAACTAAAGCTCCCCCGCCATTCCCAGAGCCTGTGTATAAATGCCCAGCCCACAGGGTGCCCCATGCTCCAGATCCAGCCTGCAGGGAGACCCATGCTATTCATCCAGCTTATGGGGCCAAATGAGTTTGACCCTCCTGTTCTACCTCAATATAATGGTGGTGAGGTAAAAGCACTGCTTTTCTGGAAGTGAAGATATAACCTTAGTGTCCATTTCTGAACTGTAGGTGCTGCTCCTCTGAGTGAGTGAACAGCACTCTGCATTGGATTAATGGCTGGAATGAAGAGTTCTAATGATTGGTGAAGGAATTAGACTCTTCCTCCAATCCTGCCCCACCCCCAGCCCCACTCCCATCTCACACTATATGTGTGATTATTGTGAAAGGACCAGCAACAGTTTCAGGTGACCAACATTCTTTTCTCACATGACATCTAACCTGGCTTTCCCTGCAAGAGAAAGATGCAGTGAAGACTGAGTGGCTTGCCCTGGCTCAACCATAGTATCTGGGCTGGGTGAGGGGCTCCCCTAGGTGAAGTTCTCCAGACTGTACTACACAGGAGTTCAGGCTGGGTCATCAGCATGGGCTCTTTTGGCCTTAAATCCATGAATCTAGAAGTGTATCTTTGGTGTGCTGAGACTTTCTCAGAGGCGGTAGAAGAGAGGAGATGGGTCACTCTTCGCTTCTTCTTACAAAGCCCAGGTAGCTTTAGGCAGCAGGTGTTCTGATGCCATTGTCCTGTTTGTGCAGAGAGAATATTCTTGTGCTGGATATATTTTTTGAAGCACTCAACTACGAGACCATTGAACAGAAGAAAGCATACGAAGTGGCAGCCTTACTTGGTAAGGACCATTCTTATCATATGAATTTCTGAATCAGTGTATGCATCCATGCTGAGAACAACAGACAGAGGGACAGTGCATACAGCCACACACTGAGTGTATATATGCAGGGTTGGGGGGTTGTACATAAAAGGCAAATGAAGTAGAAGGGTGTTTGTGCAGATTGAGTGTGCTTATATTGTGCTTTTAAAACAGTGGCCTGGGAGTCCTGGAACCATCACAGTAATTATCCATTGTAACGTAAAGTTCATCTCTCATTTTCTTTCCTGCACTGAGTGGGTGAATGTCTTGGGATCATGATCCCCCCTCCCCCCGCTCCCTTAAGGTGATTGGAAGCAAAGCTACTCCCTGTTGAGATCAGTATAGACTCAGTTCTACCTCTGAACAAGAGGGCACTGTCCCTATCTTTGCTGTACACAGTGGTCGCATCTACATGAGATGCTTACTGTGCAGTAGTAGCAATGAACTACTGCACAGTCAGCATCACCACAAAGCTATGCAGAGATGTTACCGTGCAGTAAGGCCAGCACTAAATGACTGCATAGTAACAACTGTGCAGTCAGCATCTTGTGTAGATGCTGCCAGTTGCTACCTGATCAAGACAAATCAGGGTATGTGGATGATTTGGCTCAGTAGCTGGGGTATCTCAGCTTATTAGTAAGGGAATATAGAGCTGCTCACTTTCTAGGGTGCTGGTTTGATTGGCTAAAGCCAGCTGTAACTGGAAATCATCACAGCTTAGGAGGTTGTGCAAAAGGATCTGGCAAGTCCTAGCAGAGTGTATAGCAAGACCATCATCCTAGGTTTTTCAATAATTGTCACCATTGCCAGGGGGATTGAAAGGGCAAATAACACTTCTCTCCCCTGCCCTACTCAGGTTCTGACTGAAATACATTGGTGGGGGAAGCTTGCACTACTGCTGCCTAGGCTGTACCTGCTCTGTCCTTGAACACTGGCCTGCAGTGCCCTGGGCTCTCTGCTCAACACGTGCAGGAACATCTTTGGAAACAGAACCCAGCTCCCTCTTTTGCAGGCCACAAGCCCTTTTTCACTGGGCCACAAGGTCACACTCCTTGCTTGCTATCCTTCTAGATCCCTGACTCTTACTCTCCTGGCTGCCCAGCTTCAGTAGGATAGACAGAAAGTGTTCTGGGGAATGGCTAGTCCATATCCTGGTGGTGAAAGTAGCATGCTAGAAGTAGAAGACACTTGGGTGATAAAGGTATAGAACCATAGTCTTTTACACCCTTGGCAAGTCGCATAATCCCCTAGGTAACTAGGCTAAAAGGCAGGAGTGTTCTCCTCCTCTTCCTGCCTGGTGATTAGTGACAGTTTTTCTTTGGCTAAGGATTTGGGAATTTACACTGATATTAGGCAATTCCTGGGCATATTCTGATTTTAACACAGTATAAGTGAAGGTAAATCTTCAGGAAAGCATTTCTGAGCATTCTCAGCCTACTGCCCTGGAGGTGCACAAGAAGTCCTGATATCCAGGCAGCAAAATGACTGTTGCACCAGGGGAACTGGATTGTGTTAGCGATTGAGGCACCTCAAAGCTGTGTCAATACTTCTCAGAGGCCAATCAGGATATGGCCCTTACACTCTCAGCCCCCCATGACAAACCACTGTTGAGGTGATGCCAGAGCCCTAGGTCTCTCCCTCCTGTTCTGCTGTGTGTTTTTAAGGAACAGGCTAGATTTTTGCACTTGTGGGCAAACTTCTTACCCTCAGCACAGCTCAGTCTCCCCAGCTCTTGACCAGACCTTGAAGTTCCCATGAGCGAAACTTTTCCAGCTCCTGGGATCTTCACCCTTGGTTTGCAAAATATAGATCCTCACCTCTGCAGAGATTATATACGTGTAATTGTCAATTGCACTGAACATTCATTTCACCTCCCCCCCCCGACGTGTGTTTGTTTGTGTGTGTGTGTAATATATATACATAGTATAAAACAAACAATATTTATTGTACAAAAAAGATAGATTGCACAATAAAAAGTAACTCAAGACCTTGTCTTCCCATCAGGCACCTTATAAATACCTTAAAGCCAGCTCCCCTGATCTTTTTTTTTTTTTCTATGCAATCCTCAGAAAGCAAGTGAATTCTCCAAATAATTCCTTTCTGCTTGGGCACCTGGATTTCCCCTGATAATGGCCCTTCCTTTGAACACTTCCCACTCCTAGCTGATCAATATGCATACTGATTCTGGGTGCCTCCCTGTTGCCTCCCTGTTTTGATAGCCCTCCTTTCCAGATACGTGGGGGTCAGGTTTTTCCCTGACAATATATCTTCTTTTATAAATTTACTCACTCCACTGATCAAGGTTCAATACCATACACTCTCCAGAGACAGGCCTTCTTCCTGCTTTAACAGGCATATGTATATCTATCTATCTATCTATCTATCTATAAATAAATAAATGTCCTCTCTGGAATGCACAAATCCATTCTCTCCTTTTGGGTGGGGCCGGGGGGGGTGCGGGTGGGGAAAGGCAAAATCCACTCTTGTGTTGCAATGTTGTTCCCTTTCAGGAAAGGATTATCTCATTAACATGTCTTGAAGTTAACAGGTCACTACATTCCAAGCATAGAAATCATAGAAAATTAGGGTTGGAAGGGATCTCAGCAGATAATCTAGTCTAGCCCCCTGCTCAAAACAGGACCATCCCCAACTAGATCATCCCAGACAAGGCTTTATTAGGCTGGGTCTTAAAAACCTCTAAGGATGGAGACTCCACAACCTCTCTGGGTAGCCTGTTTCAGTGCTTTATTACCCTCCTAGTGGGAAAGGTTTTTTCCTAATATTTAACCTAAGCTTCCCTTGCTGCAACTTCAGACCATTGCTTCTTGTTCTGTCAAGGATTACTTCCCTATGAGCCCAATGCTCCAGCCAGTTTTCTACCCACCTTACCGTCCATTCATCCAACCCAGATATACTTAGCTTGCTTGCGAGAACGTTGTGGGGGACCATATCAAAAAAAGCTTTGCTAAAGTCATGCAAAAATCTAGAACTCCTGGTTCAGAAATGATACCTTTTATTAGACCACCTGGGAAATCACCCCAAAAATATCTTTTTCTGCAAGCTTTTGGGCTCAAAGTCAAAGTTTATCACATCCACTAATCTCCCCGCATCCGCAGAGCCAGTTATTTTTGTCATAGAAAGCAGTCAGGTTGGTCAGGCATGACTTACCCATGGTGAATCCATGCTGACTGTTCTTAATCACCTGCTCCCCCAAGTGCTTAGAAATGGATTCCTTGAGGAACTGTTCCATGAGTTTTCCAGAGACTAGGGTGAGGCTGACTGGTCTGTAACTCCCTAGATCCTCCTTCTTCCCTTTCTTAAAGATGGGAAGGGATCTTTCCCTTTTCTGATCATCTGGGACCTCCCCTGAACACCATGAGTTTTCAAGGATAATGACCAGTGGCTATGCAATCACATCAGCCAATTCAGCATCACATCCATTGGGCTATGTGCATCGTGTCTGGCCCCATGGTCTTCTGTATGTCCACTTTTTCTCAGAGTCCCTAACCTGTTCTTTCACTACTGTTGTCTGCTATCCATCAGTTCCCTGAGTGAGTTGAAGTTCGCTTTTCTGAAGTCCAGGTTCCTTACTCTGCTGCCCTCTTTCCTTCCTTTCCTCAGGACCCTGAACTCAATCATCTAGTGATCTCTGCTGCCCAAGTTGCTATCCACTTTTACATTCTTCACCAATTCTTAACTGTTCGTGAGCAGCAGGGCAAGAAGAGCATGGTCCCTAATTGGCTTCTCCAATTCTTGGACCAGGAAGTTGTCCCCTAACACTCTTCAAAAACTTTCTAGATTGGCTGTGCACTGCTGTGTTGCCCTCCCAGCAGATGTCAGGGTGACTGAAGTCCCCCATGAGAACCTGGGCCTGTGATTCTGACCTGGTGGTCTATAGCAGTCACCCACCACATCACATTTGTTGCTGTCCCCTCTGACTTTAACCCAGAGACTTTCAACACGGTTATCTCCAGTTTCATACTGGAGTTCTTTTATGTACAGCTCTTTTACATAAAGGACAACTCCTCCTCCTCTTCTCCCCTGCTTATCCTTCCTGAACAGTTTATACCCATCTGTAAGAGAAAGCATGGGGCTCTCTGTTCCTTTAAAGGGAAGGAAGCAGCCCAGCAAGGGAACACTGCAGGCGAGGCAAGGTGCAGCTGCTTCAGGTCACCATAGCAAGGGGGAAATTGGGGCAATTAGCAGGCACCTGCAGGCAGCCCTGGCAGTCCATCAACTGGAAGGGGGCAGGGCCCTGGGAGAATAAGCCTGAGGCTTGGACTAGCAAACTAGTCAGTCCCCACTTGCCATCAGGAGAGCTCCTGGCAGCAGGGCTCCTGAAGGGACTGTGTTGCTGCATACAGAGCCCCAGTGAGGCTAGGGGAGCTCATCTGGATATAGCCCAGGGCTGGGAGGCTATCCTAAGTGAGAGACGAGGGAAAGATTTTCCCTCTTAAAGGGACAGAGGGCTGCTTCTTCTTTTGGTATTTATGTTGTAGCCTGGGAGCTTATGTTTATGTTGTAGTTATACTGATGGTTTGGGTTGGGACCATAGGGGTGGTATACAGTGGTCCCATTAGTGCCTGAGGGCACACTATTGTCTTGAGCCTTGCCAGGGGCAGGCTCAAGTCTTGAGTCACTGAGCCAGGCAGAGCCAGGCAGGAGTCAGGGGCCCAGTGCCTGACAGGGGCACAACTTGACAGGGGACAGGGGCCCAGTGCCCAAAAGGGCCAAACCAGAGCTAGTGCCTCAAAGCCAGGTCTGATACAGTGGGCCTGAGCTAGAAGGCCTAGCTAAAGTAAAGGGGCAGAGGCTGAAGCCCTGACAGGAGAATGTTATTGTAACACCCGTGAGGCTTGAGGCATGGTGTAGGGGAGACTGGAGTCATACAATTAACTCTCAAGGCTTTAGGTGCCCAGGCGGCACATCAACCAGAGAGGCCCTATATGGGGTCTGGGAGCCATAGAGGCCCTGCACGG